TTAGCGGCCGTCATTTTTGCGGGTCCAGGTCCGTCGGTTTGGGTCCCAGGCCGTTTTCACTAAGGGGAGGTTTACTAAAGGGAGGTATGTCCACCACCGAGGGCCGGTGTTATGAGTCCGCGGGGATTTCGGGAGCCTTGAGACGGGCCCCCCTTTCCTGATCCTACCCTTTCGGGTATAGCCAGGACCCCGGGTAAGGGGACCCGGTTAGTAGTAGGGCCCCAGAGCCCCTAAATATTGGCCAGAATTTCTAGACCAGGTCTGCCATAGCTGGTGTTTTTCGGGTGACGGCAGTTCCGGTTAGTGGAACGGGGCGGGGGGGGGGTCCCCGAGTGCACATCATTAAACCAGGTCTCACTAAACCCAGTTCTGCCGACGCCCGACCCTTTCGTGCGGCCCGTGGGGGTTGGGCTCAGCGGTGAGCGCATGGACCTCCGCTTGCCCGCTGATTGCCGATGGCGGCCCGATAGGATTCGCCGATCTGTCAGTGATGTACACTGAATTTCAGGTCGGTGCTTCTCCCCCCGGAGCCGGGCTCCCCATATCGTCTCGGGAGCCTTGAGACGCGGGTCAATGCAAACGGGCGGGGGTCAGCCAGGGCACCGGATTTTGCAGGATCCTGCGAAGACCCCCCTCTGGCTGACCTGGGTTAGCGAGCCGCTCGTGGCCGCGGGGCGGCCGCGCCTATTGGCTGACCCAGGTTGGCGAAGACCTGCGTTGCAGTTTCTGCTTCCTGCATTGCAGTTTGTTGGTCTCCTGCTGACCCGGGTCTGGATTGACGCTGGTCAGACGATCCCTGAGGATTCGGGGTCCTCGCACGGTTTTGGGACTCGGGCCGTTCTCCGCGGACGTCTCGGAGCGGCTGGGGCCTCCAGGGTTCAAACAGCCGCGCGGTGACGTACTCCGCTCGGCGGTGATGCCGTGGCTTGGCATCGCTCGGACGTGTGCATTTTTCCTTCGGCGAGGACCGTCGAGGAGCATCCTTGATCATTTGGCGAAAAAACCACGCACGAGACCGAAAAAAACACAGGGAATGGACGTCCGAGCGATGGCGAGGTGGGGGATTTCGAGGTCACCATGCCTGTCCGTCACCACACGGTTTCGAGGCCCAGAAGTTGACTCAGACGGCGTATGGCACGGGGAGACGGGCGATGGGGGGAGGTGAGGGGTGTTGTTGCCTGTGCCCCGAGGATAGAGAATGGATGTTGTTCTAGGCAGTTGGGATGCTCCCTCTGGACTTCCAGACGCCTCCCAGGGGCCTCCAGGAACCTCCAGAATCTCGATAGTAGTGTTGAGATTCTGGTCAGTGTCCTTGCATGGCATTCTGCCCCCGCGCACACACACGGACGCGCCCCTCGACTCCTGTTCGTGCAATGCTGGGCCAGGAAAGCGTGCAGGCAACGTCTGGCACGTGTGAGGTCCAGCGTTCCTGAGGGGCGTAAGTGGCTCGCCAGGGTCCAGGCTGCCAGAACCTGTGTGTGTTTGGAAGTTCCTTCCGAGTGCCCGCGAAGACCTCCAGGAACCTCTGGAGGGATGTCGATTCTAGGAAGGCTCTTTGAGACACCGGCGAGTCCCCCGCCAGCGCTCAAGTCCGTTCCAAATCGGTTCACGGACCCCTTTCGCGGTCCGTCCTGACCGATTCTTCGAGGCGGATCTAGCAGTGGCGACGAGAAGCTTCCAGGAGGCCCAGGACGGGCGAAATACGCCAGCGAGTGCCGCCGTTGTCTCGACTGGCCCTCCTCCGAGCTGTTGCTGCTCCTGCTCCGGTGCATCTGTCTCGCACTCCCCCCCTTCCCCATGCCCTCGTCGAGCAGAGAAAGAGCCGCTCTCAGCCGGGGTGACCCTCTCCGTGGACGAGGACCCCGACGAGAAGCAGGCCAAGGCCAGACCTCGAAGGAGGGGGGAGCGGAGGAGGGGCAGAGGAGGGGACGCGGAGAGGAATGGGGTGGGGCGCCAGCCCTGGACCCCCTCGCTTCGTGAAGGAATCGC